CCCCCTGAAAAGTAGAGCCTACCTGTACAGGGTTCCACTCCAACAGCTGATATAGTGTGTCCATGCTTGACTGCTTCAAGGCTCAAGAGAGGGTCAATGGACCTAATAGGATAAGACTCTGCGTGAGCAAAAGACACTAGCGGTCTGCACCTCTACCGTGTACGCCCTAGTCACTCTTTCAGTGGTAGCGGAGCAGTGATCCTGGAAGACCCAGGTGAGCTCCTTTCCTAGGCATAGAATTGCTTGTGGGCAAACGGCCATGGATTGGATTGACGACTGGGAAGAGCCTGATGCGGATGTGGCTTATGAGCCAGCAGCCTACGTGAATAGGCATGTGAGAAGAGAACCAGCAGCAATAGCTATGACAACACAGGTCACTACAAAGGTGCCCCCATCTTATGATGGAAAGACTTCATGGTTTTCCTATGAGGATGCCATAGACGATTGGTGTGATATCACCGAGCTGGAAGATGAGAAGAGAGGACCAGCTTTGAGAAACAGATTAGAAGGAGAAGCAGCAGTATACAAACGTGTATTAGACAGAGATTCAGTGAAGGCTAATGAGCCACCAGGAGCAGGAGTAGATTACTTCAAACGAGTACTACGACCATATTTCGTGAAAGGATCAACCAATGTATTCCTATACAGGTTTATGCAATTCGTGCGATTCAATCGAGGATCAGCCGACATGATGAAATGGATGACAAGATTCCAGATTTTACTCCAAAGGCTTATGAGCAGTTGGATGGACATGTTAGAACCAGTCACTCAAGCACATCCCCAAGTCCTTGCTCAGATGCAGGCAGATGCAGCGTTGACTGGAGTAGCACCAACGGCAGAAAGGATTCAGGAAATCATGCAGAATGTCAATGGCAATATGAGAATTCTTCATCAGAATGATTTTCCTTTAGGAGAGAATCTCATTGCCCTACTCATGCTGTCCCTTGCAGATTTGTCTCAGGACCAGCGAAACACTTTGACTTCGTTGATGACTCATCGTGGCAGGTACCTGCAGCAATACACTACAACAGAGCTGAGGACAGTTTTCATCGAGATGTTCTGCACGACAAAGACTTCAGTAGACAATCCATTGATGCAGCCGACAGGTGCTGGAGGTAGAAGATCATTTCTCGTACTAGACGAAGGAGAACTCGATGGTACATTTGGCTATTGGGCCGAAGATGAAGAAGATGGAACAGAAGGATTTTTAGATGCCCTGGACGATGTCTTTTGGGTATATGATGATCAAAACTTCTCGTGGTTCCAAAGGAGATTCCAAGGAAGAAGAGCCAGAAAAGGTAAAGGAAAAGGTAGAAGAAAAGGAAAAGGCAAAGGAAGATCAGGCCGCAGATTCTTCAGACCTCGTGGAAAAGGAAAAGGAAAGAGACGAGGTAAAGGCCATTTTGCTGATGAGCAACAGACAACTTTTCCAGATGAATACCTTGAAGAGAATCCTTATGAGGACACTTGGGAGTCAACCCAAGGAGCATATGATGCCATTCTTGCCGAGGATATGAATGACTATCTTCACGGAGAATATGATGATGCCAATGACTTTTGGCAACAGCTTGAAGAAGCATGGTTTTCCCACAAAGGAAAAGGAAAAGGCAAGAGAAAAGGCAAGAAAGGAAAAGGAAAAGATAAAGGAGATGGCAAACAAGATGCAAACTATGCAAATCAACAACAGCCACGTTCTTTACCTGCACCTTCAAGAACTTCACAAGCATCAGGAGGTCAACAAGTTTTCTTAGCACATTGTGTGACAGCAGCAGCTGAAGTCCATGACAGTGAGGTGGACTTGCTGTCAGGCATGATGACCTCATGCCAAGATGAAGCTGACTGCGTGGTCAACAGTGGTGAGACGATCCTCGATGACATGAGTGCCCCTGTGAGGTACTCTTTGTCAAAGGAGATGCTCACAAAGGCTCCTGATGGCTTTGCGCTTATGAGCGCTGATGGCTTTGCGCTTATGAGCGCTGATGGCTTTGCGCTTATGAGCGCTGATGGTTTTGCGCTTATGAGCGCTGAGGAAGAAGTGAAGGAGATGCAGGCTATTTCATTTTTGACTGAGAATCGCTTCCCGCCAACTATTGCAATCCTGGACATTGGATGCACTAGAGCTATGGGATCAAGGCGAGCAGTCGACCATTTTTGCAACTATGTCGACAATCACCCAGATTGTGGATTATGGTACTCCTTTGAGTCTACCAAGAGCAAGTTTTACTTTGCCAATTCCCAGAAGGCTACTTGCTCTCAGAAACTGGTGATTTACATGTATGATCGTGCATGGACGATCCACCAGACAGAGTTCGACATAGTGGAAGAAGGAGAAGTCCCTTTGCTTATGAGCTTGCCACAGATGAGGAACTTAGGCTTTGAACTCAGGCTGACACCTCGACATGCTTATTTGACATCGGTGCCTCTTGGTATCAAATTTTTGGAGTTGAAGGTTGCAGCCAGTACTCATCTTGTGCTGGACTTCCAAGATATTGCATGGTATCTGTCTGACGTGCGTTGGCAGACTCAGCCTGAGAAGAGTTTTTACCCTCACCTCACTCACTATGAATATGGCCATATTTCTGTTGAACACAATAGTGATGAAGGTGAAGCTGAGCATGCATATCCTGTGGTTGATTTCTGGGAAGTAGATGTTCACAAGAGAGAACTGATACGTCACCACAAGGATTACAGGAAAATTCTTTTCCCAGCAACTAAGTCATGTCCTGTAGACACTGACTTGCTGGAAGACTTGCGATTGACAATCATCAAGAAGAAGAAAGGTGGAGAAGAAATCAAGAAGACAGATGATTGGCGCAAGGCAAAATGGAAGGACCTACAACTTGGCTATGAATGGCGTGGTAGAACAATTTTTAAGTTTAAGCCAGATGCCAAAATTCCAGATCTAAAGATCAGGAAGGCTGGCATTGAGCACCGTGGCATTGGTGATCCCGATGCAGTGGTGCGCTCCTCCTCAGAGAAGGTTCCCATTGCAAAGGACAGGGAACCAGGCTTCTCGTCAGAGAAGGAAGGTGCACCATCCAGTGCCGCGGAAAAGCCTGTGCCGCCAAGGTTCCGGTATACTTCCAAGGGTTTTGATCCCTTTTGGAAAGGACACAAGTCGAAACCATCTGAGCCTCAGAATGATTTAAAGGGTGATGATCTTGAGGAGTATGTTCCCTCAGAACCACCTGAGAGGCCAGAAGGTGAACTTGTAGAAATTCCTAAAGCATCAAAAGGACCATCAAGTGATAAACATGAACCACTTGAACCAGGTGATGGCGCTCTTGAGCCTAGGCGGATTTCAATCCATTTACCTGGTAGTGAAGTTGTTGCAATGACACCGGCATATAGGAAGATGTTACAGAGACTGGAGGACGTTGTCAGGAACTGCCGTGTTTGTAACACTTCAGTGGCACCTCCGCCACGAGCCAGAGTCTCCGGTATTAGAGCTTCATGTTTTGGTGATGTTGTTTTTGCTGATCATTGTGAGGTTGAACTTCACAAGAACAAGTATATCATTCTACTTGTTCTTGATGGTGCCACAGATCTTCTCTGGGCTACGGCACAGAAAGACCTCATAGATCAAACCACCATCCAAGCATTGAGGCAATGGTCTGATGAGAACAACTGTGTTCCAAAGGCCATCGTAGGAGACGAAGCCTTTTTCACCGATGCTTTTGTTGAATACTACAGGTTCCATGGTATACAACAATGTCCTTGTGGGCCAAGAACTCCTTGGCCGAACCGAGCAGAGACAGCTGTACGTTTGTTCAAACGTATGTGGAATATTATGAAGGTAGATCTGGATGACCCACGTTTTCGTGGTGTTACGGTCAGAGAAGTGGTCAAGAAGGTAGTTTGGGCAAGAAATTGTCAGTTGACTATCAGTGGATATTCACCAATAGAGATAGCAACTGGAAGACGTCCACCAGATCTTTTTGACCTTGAGACCGCAAGCCCTGAGCAATTGTCAGCTAATGCCGCCGCACAAGATCGTACAAATTTGGAACTACAACGTGTGGCTTTGAGAGCTCATCAAGAAGCACGACAAGCTCAGGACCTTCGAGCAGATCTTGCGAGAAGGACTATGCCAAGTGACGGTCCTTATTTCCAAGGAGAGAAGGTTTTTGTTTGGACTCAGGATTCATCAAAGTTCAAGGATAAAGGACGTTGGGTTCGTGCCACAGTACTTGGACAAGAAGGAGCTATGGTCCAAGCCAATACTGGTAAGGCAGTGATACGTGTGAATCA